TCTATCGTTATTTTTTGCCTGTATATGTTTATCTAAATCATTGTTGATTCACTTTAATTTTCAATAAGAAATGTCTTAAAATTGTCAAAATTAGAAAACAAACTACTGAAATGCTTGACAAGTACAATATTTTTAGCCTGAGTACATGCACCCCAGATGTACCTAGACTGCATTTTTCCCGATAGATATTTCACTATTTATTTGTGCGATTAAGAGTGGAAAATCACCAGGGCACATTTGTCTTAATTTTTTTTCTTATATGAATACAAGGTACATGTACACTACAAAAAGTAATTAGTTACAGTAAGTCATTTATCTTCAGTTTGTTTTTATTACCAGAGTACACAAAATAGCCTAAGATTTCCTACCAAAAAGGCAAAAGGCGGGGGCACAAATAGGTGGTGTCCAGGGTGCCCATGACCCCCCCTTTTGTAAGCCTTTTTTAAGCAAACAACCTACAACTGCAGGTGGTGCCTTGAAAATGACATGACAATCTGACGAGTACCCTCACTTTTACAGTGTGACCCCCCCTTTGAAAAATCCTGGCTACGCCCCTGAAAGGTGTGCCTTACCAGCACTTACTGTGTCTGTGTGTGCTGGTTATGCTTGCAAATGTGGTAGGAAAACCAGGCTTCAGAGAGCTGTGTGTCTGCTTACAGGAGTTCAAAACAGTACATAATTTGTCTAACATTGTTTTTGATTGCTTGCATGACTATGGGAGAGGTGTGTGGAATGAAGTTCTACTGGTCATGTATATTTTACTGTTATTTTGAGAATGTTGTCAAAGAGTTTTCATGTAACACAACGTATAATCAAGATTGGGTACTGTATACTCAATCAGTAACATCACGTTTCAAAACCAACAGACCATTTGTGGTCAGCTAGACATTTAGACACACTAACAAACCTGTATTTATATCCTGGATTGATACTGTACACTTGTCTAAATATTTTGTATTCCACTCAGTGCAATTAATTTACTTGTGACCAATACGATATTTAAAGTCTTTTTATGTCGCCTCGTAATGCTAAAATCTACAAAAATTATTGTTGTAAGAGACTTACACCCTCATGATTCTTTCCACTACAGAGCCATTGCTGTAGGCATGCAGAGACCAAAGCAAGTCTAAATATTCTGCTGTCTTAAAAAGTGTTTTTGACACAGTTCTAAGTCAAACATTTGAGCTTTATAAATCAACTGTATTCAGTACTTTTGCAGTGACCATTGTCCTGTAGTCAAATCATACTCTGCAGAGAACAAAGTCTTCCCAAGGAATGTAATGGAATCACTGAATGACATGGTTGGTTCTCCATAGTGACCATGGAAGCCTAACTCTAAGTCCACAAACAGGGGGTTGGCATCTGATATGTTCAGATTCTGGTTGAGGTACATTTCCAGAGGCTCCTTAGATAGGACTTTCTCAGCTACAACTTTCTTCGATCCTTCAATTTCCTGAGACACTCGTACAGAAACTTGCCTGAAAAATGAATAAGGGGTGTCGCATTCCAGGTCAAGGCCTTGTATTAAGACTTTGTCCTGGCTTATATCAACGACAAAGCGTCGTTGTACTTTGAAGGGTGGTATTTCCAAGCCAAGCCTCCTCAAAAGCCCTGACATTACAGTATCTATCTGGCTGTGTATCTGAAGGGCACTCTGGGAACTGAGTGGTGTCTTTTGCAGATTGCAGATCACCAGCTTTTGTTTACATCGGACGACGGTGGCTGGAATATCAGCTGCAGGATACACTTGAAGACTGGATCCAAGCACAATGATCAAGTCACATTTCTTTGCCTCTTTGTAAGACTTTTTCAATTCATAAGTTGGAAGACTCTCGCCAAAGTTTATGATGGAGTCCACCAGTGAGCCGCGGCACTGGGCATTATCACAGAATCTTCCAGTCAGGTGGTCATGAACTCTCCGGGAAGTGCGTGTGCCAAAGTCTCTCAAATATTTAGCACCACAAGTCGTGCACTTCTCCAGGTTTGTGTTCCCATGAAGCTCAGCAAGCTGATGACTGGGGATGCCACTGCGTAAATGTAGACCATCGACATTTTGGCTCACAGTGAACTTGACCAACCCTTCTTTGTGCAACTTTACTATGGCCATGTGTGCAGGTGAGGGTATCGCTTTCAGAATGTTAGGAATGGCTGCACCTGGTTTGCGAGCCACGCCTTTGGCTTGCAACTCCCATACACCTGGGCCTGTCTTCAACACAGTGTTCATGCCACTTCGGAAATCTGGGATTCCAGTGCTTGTACTTATCCCAGCACCTGTGAACATGACACAGTGTTTACTCTCCTTCACCCATTTGGCAAGAAGATCCATCTTTTTCTCCAGTTCTTCTGAAGAGTCAAAGAACTCCTTTTTGTCATCCTCATGCTCGATATTGTGATGGCTTCCCCTTGGGGCTGGTCTAGGTGCATCACCTCTGGGTTTGACTGAGGGAGGTTTTGTTGGAGGTGATCCTGTGTAAAAGGCAAAACATTAATAAGTCACCCCACTGGCTGATAACATCATTCAACTCATAATATCTACAGTACATGTATAATCCAAAGGCTCTCGTTTCATTAAAGGTCAGGTACCGGGCAAATTGACTGGCTATGAGGATGATTTTACCTGCCTGGTTTCACAATCTAGGGAAAACTTTTCTTATAAAGAAGTTTCATTTCAAAAAAGTCTTGCCCTCCTGTGAGAACCAGTTGCACTCCTGGTGAAATCATTAATGAAACCCCTCCTCTCAGGGTCTGTCACAACCCAGGATTTCCTTTATAATAGTGTTCCTCAAAAAAGAATAATGTGATTCAGAATTTTTATGTTAAAAATAAGTTTACTGACACTTCTTACCCAGAGCTTAAAGTATCTGGCAGGTACCACAGACTTCATTCCTGGAGAAGGAGGAGGAGGGCAAGGAGGGGGGGGGGGAGGGTCCCATAAAAGTGATGTGGTGATAATTGCAAATTTTTACAGAAACTCGGAAACACAAATGAAATTGGGCTTCTAAGATGAATATGTACATTTATATTAATTACAGTCAAGTCGGATTAAAGTGATAAAAGGTTTATTCATTCTTTTTCAATCAACTATCCTCCTATACCATTGTAGGCAGCTTTGCACTGGCTGACATTATCAGTAAATATCAATAACAATTTGGCCTATTTCTTGTCCTGTTTTTCATTGTTGGAGTACATGGAAACTCACAGCATGATTATCAAGGCAAGCTAATTCTTAAAACAAAACTGAAATGGTTTGCTGTTAAAAACAGAAGAGATAACAGAGTGCAAAAGTGGTAGGGTTCCACCTAGTCTCCTTTACAGCTGTTATTTGGGTTATCACACAATCCAAGTGGACCAGGACAATATGACAAACAAAATAACCGCCTCTTGGAGACTGTTCTGTAAGTTCCACCAGGAAATGACACTGTGATCATCGCACAAGGATAAAGTACTTTGCACTTTTGCCATATTCCAGCAAGATCTCTGTGCCTTTTCCTGATGCTGCCACATGTGTTTGAATACTATATTTTTGTCTAGATATCAAAATGATGTTCTGCACTCGCTTGCAACTGTTTTTATATGATTGGGGGATTGGATCATAAATATATTAAAAGTTTCCAAAACTTTCAGTTTCCTTACAAATTGTCTCACATATTTCTTTAGTGTTGTTTATTATTTTCTTCATTCTCGTTACCTGTCTATCTGACAATGTACATGTGTACTGGAGGCTGATCAATTTTGGACAACCATGGGTATTAGTTATTATCAATAATATCACTGACCTTCAAATCATACATTTTAATCTAATAAAATTTGTATTTAGTACGCAATTTAACATCTTTTTTCCTCAGCCCCAGTACCTGATGAACTTTCTTCCTTTCCAGGGCTTGGTTTGTCTTTCTGTTTAGGTGTGATCTTCATACTATCCACAAGGGCAGTTGCCAGTTTCTCCAGATCTCTTTCTGTTCTTTCTTGAGCCTCCTTCAATTTTCTTTCTGTTGTGGGGAAAACACCTTCCCTCACAACTTTCTCACATATAAGCTTTTGTTCTTCTCCCTCCATCTCCCAGTGAGCTACAAACTGTAAGTACCGTGGAACATCTGCTGGAAAAGATACTGGATGCTTTACTGGGTTTTCTCCAAGTACGCAGACTTCAATGCTACTTGACTGGTGGAGATACAGAGATTCTAACTGCGAGTGTTGTAGTACATTTACAGTCATATCAGTGGTGCTGTCAGCCATTATAATTGGAATCTGTGGGATAAAAAAAGCTTTGCATCAGAGGTAGTAATGTCTGTTATTCAAAATATTGTCACAAAAGTGCTCAACAAGCTGTATATGATTATTTGAGATACAAAGTTGGCAATTAAACTATTTTAAGGGACTTTGAGGTCTCCATGCCCTTTCCTCACCCCACCCCGAACCCCACCCCCTTCACTGGCTTTTCTCCCGTGGGAGGGGTATTCATGGGAAGTACCAGATGTCTACTTGAAAATCTGAAAATTGATAGAAACAAAATACATGTAGTGACTATGACAGGTGACCCTTCCCCCCTCCCCCTGCCGTAAACGAGAAGGTGTGGCTGTTTGCAAGGTCGTCCCCCAGGAAAACTGAAAGATTCACTTCTTATCTTGAAAAAAATTCCCCCATAGATCGAACAACAGCCACCACTCCAACGCTATTACTTGCTTCACTCTTTTTGTCCATTCCTTACCTGACCACCTTCAAGCAAATTCACAACAACTTTTTTGCATGACAGAATTTCAAGTACACCAGAAATCAGAGTAGATTTCACGTTAAGGACCATATTATTACAACTCTGCACGAGTAACTTGGCAGCTTTCTCTTCCAAACTTGCATGGCAGTCACTGCAATCTTTGACAATCAACAATGCATCTTTTGCTGGCGATTTCAGCTCAAGTTCGTCGCCTTGTCTGTTGCTGATTGTATGACTTGGTCTCTGAGCCAACTTGAACATCGCTTGAAGATTAGCGTAGGCCATGTTTTCTGTTTCGCTATGAACTCTCGAAGCTCGATGTTCCGAAGTTTTGAAGTTATGGGACGTCCAGTTCACTTCGCTGCAAATCGTATTCAAATGAACAGAAGTGCAAACTCTGCAGAATTACTTCCGTAGGTGAGAAATGTTGCCTGGCATGTTACCTTATATGGACAACACGTTTTGTCGAATGATAAGCAGTATTTTCAGCTCCAGACGTCATCCAAGTGTTTTGCTCCGCTTCTGAAGGCTCGGTCACTCGATCGCAGGCTGCATGTGCGCGGTTACGTAGTGGAAGGTGAAGAGAAAGGAAAATGGAGGTGGAGGAAAACAGTACAGAAACTCCGTATGTAGCCTGCTTTGCTCTCCTATTTTTTGGAAGTATTATTTGCTTATTACTACGGTTTTCTTATGCAGCCGTTCAAAAGCAGCAGTGATATATTTTAACGCTTGCATGAGCTCAAGTTATTGCAGCAGGGAGCTGCAGTTTCCGCGAGCATTCTAGTTGTCAAAAAACCGTCACCGGTGTTAATTGATTTCCTATTGACTCCAAAACATGGACGATCAAAAGAACATAAACATACGTCTACACCAGCCCAAAAACTCCCGGTAAACATGCATAAAAGTACAAAGTATTAACACAACATTTGATTGCAAGTAACTTGGTGGGAAATCTCATTTCGAAAGGAGAAGGTGAATCTGATTAGCAATAGTAATCTCTAGTCGTTTTTGATTTGTTAACTAGGCCAGTAAGCACTTAATGACTGGCCCCAAGGGAAAACAATGAGTTTTGTTTCCCTGAGGCCTGAAGCCGAGGGAAACTTTGAGTTTAAGGGGAAACAAAAACTCACTGTTTCCCCACGGAACCAGTCATTATGTGTTTTGTTATACCTCCCAACTCGAAACTAGGAAAAAACTGGGAAAAAATTGTTTGCTTAATGCCAGCTGGCACACAAATTTGCTGCGGTCTCAAGGAGCACGACCTGATCATGTGCGAGTCGAAAGTTCAAGTTGCTGTTTCCCTAGGGAGTTAGTGAGTTTTGTTCACCCTAGGGAGTTAGTGAGTTTCAATCCATGACCCATGACAGGCTCTTCTCCAATTGGAAAGCATGTTTGAGTTGGGAGGTATAACAATACATATTATACTGGTGTTATGTTTCAGAATGTTGGTGGAAAATAAATCTGATGGTTGTGATTGGTCTGGAAGATGGAGCCATGTTGAGAAATTACTGTTAAGAAGTGGGCCTCTGGCTCATCAAGACTTCGAACCTGGACCTCAGGTAGGCAGAATTTGATTTGTAATAACAGTTTGAAGCTTTTTTATACAAATTAGCTGTCCTTTGCACCATCCAGCGCTATGGGGATGACTGATTGCCTACTTGAAAAAACTTTGGCTGATATTTGGTCATGTTTTAATAACTGTAGAAACATATGTTTTGCTATCATAATGCATGGCGTGACTCTTATCTCTACTAGGTTCTTGAATTCATACTTGATACTGCCAAAATACTAGTGATTGGAGCTGGAGGGTTAGGCTGTGAGCTGCTCAAGGATCTAGTAAGTTTTATCAAAAGTATATGCTCTATTCATGAATGGCTGCCAGTTTGAAATTCTTTTGTATGCATTTAAATTAGCCCAACTGACCTTGTTTGAGAGTAATAATTCTTTTGAATTATCAACTCAAAACTAAGGTTAGTTGGGTTAATTTTAATACTCACAAAGAATTTTTAATTGGCAGCCATTTATGAATAGGGTTTATTGTGAAACATTCACTGTTATCAGGTGGGAAATGGTTTGTAAATTTAGGCAACCTGATTCAGTGCTATTGTATTCTTTTTTTTTTTTTTCCAATGGTTTTGTTTTTTCTAACCTCAGGCACTTTGTGGATTTAGGAACATTGACGTTATTGACATGGACACAATAGATGTATCAAATTTAAATAGACAATTCCTCTTTAGGTAAGCTTGAATCATGAAACATGTGAATGTTCTTTGCAAGGAATATTTAAGAGTTTGTTTCCTGGTATAATGAATTTTCTGTTTTGTATTTGCAGACCAAAAGATATAGGCCGAGCTAAAGCTGTTGCAGCTGCAGAATTCATCAACAGCAGAGTAGCTGGCTGCAATGTTACTCCGTATCCTTTGACTTTGCTCCTTGCTTCAGTCAAACTCCTTGTATATTTTATTGATTTACGTGATTATTTATGAATCACCTTTTGCTGTGTTTTCTTCCTGGGATCATTGCCTACTGTATGGCTCATTCTTTTCTAAAAGGATAATGTGATTGTTTGGATTAATAAGTACAGAGGGCACTCTCACATCAAATTAGAGGTAAATAAATAATAAATAATTAATTAACAATGTTATAAAAAAGTAATTATATTATTTTTGGAAAGAACTTGTTCAAAGCTTCACAAAGTTCCATAAGTGAGAATTCCTTGTAAGAGGGAACCAGAGTCCTTGACAAAGAATGTTACAGGCACTTCAAAAAGATTCAGGATTATGACACAGATTTTTATAGAGGTTAGTACAGGCTGCAGTCTTTATAATTCTGAGTATATATTAAAAAATAGCTACATGAAGTTTCCTTATCTTGGCTGCTTTATTGTGTAAATGTCAGTAATTAGTCGTTCTTCTTGGCTATTGCTAGTAATTTTTTGGCCAACTTTTGCCAGTCCTCTTGGAAAAAAAGGTGCACACAGAAATGAGCATGACTTGTGACACATTTCAGGAAACATTTGTTACAACCAATTTATTTGCTGCCTTTACTGGTTTTACACCTCTACATGTAATCAATGTTTACATGAAATAAAATACCTTAATTTTTTATTATTGTTCATTTGGTGTCTTGTTTATTCATTTTCTTATTGTTTGGCAGGTTTTCACCTTATAGTCTGCGGATTAGACTCGATTGTAGCTAGGAGATGGATTAATGGAATGGTGGTGTGTATTTTATTGGATGCAGTAAACTTATAAAATGTTTAATATCTAATGGTAATTACGTGAATGCGAGTACGATTAAGGATTTATACTGTGAGGGATATTTGAAAATTTTCTCAAAATTACTTGAAACATGATGGGTAAGAGTAATAATTCAAATATCATGATTAGGATAAATCCTTGATTGCTGGAGCTTAATTTATCAGTTTCTAATTTATTACATATCATGATATTACTAAGAAAATTACAAGTATGCATCCATTCATGTGCACATTCATCTACACACTCTCAGACAATCACAAGGAAGCAGGCTTTTAACCAGGATTTGAAAAGTGGGCATCCAAAATGTGCTATAGGGCCTGCTCAAAGGAACAATTTATAAGGCAACATATATGAAAAATAAAACACTTTTCTTCTTTAATAAGTGGCTGTCCACAGGATGCCTGGACACCCATCTGGCTAAAAGTCTGCAAGCAAGTAATTTTCTCAGTAAGTAATAAAAATGATTGCACTAGTCTATAAAGAATAAATAAAAACATCTTTTGTGTGTGATTTCTGGATTAGTGTTCCTGAATGATGGGAATTATCGAAGAAAACTGAAATTTGCTATGTTGCAGCTCAGCTTGTTAGAATATGATGAAGATGGCACATTGGATCAAACCAGCATAATTCCCATGGTGGACGGTGGTACAGAAGGTACGTAAGATTTATTTGGTCTTTCTAGCTCTGTTCAATGTTTCTTTCCTGTTGTCCATGAATCTATCAAGACCATAATCTCAAGATGACAACCTTGGGAGGGCTTGAATCTTTCATAGGTTGTGATCTACCGTTCCTTTTGTTATATCTGGCAGATAAAATTTGCTTATTTATTTAATGTTGCAGGTTTTAAAGGCAATGCTCGAGTTATTATTCCAGGCTTAACAGCCTGTGTGGAGTGTACACTTGATCTCTACCCACCACAAGTAAGAATTCTATACTGCTAATCTGTTAGTCAGAAGACTTTTAACAGTGTTAATTATGGACTCTTAGACAACTACAGTCTGGACAACATTCTAATTTTTGGAGCTGTTGGTATTTAACACTGCTGCAGAACTTTCAATCCCATGATCCTCCTGAGAGGAAATCACTAATGAATAATGACTGTCAGATTCAGTCCAGTCAGCTGAATGTTGAATGGGCTACAGGTATTAATTTTCATGTTTAAAAAAATATCATGCTTCACATTTAAACAATTGTTTTTTTTTGTTTTTTTGTTTTTTTTCGTGAGAGAGGATGATTTTTCCGTCTGTGACACTGGACTGGTTACCAGCCCAATGCTCAACCACTAACTAAAGCTATGGAGACTTGTGTGAGCCAACTTGTGTGAGCCAAAACCGTTACTACTAAATTCATGTGACAAACGTCTTACTTACTGCAAAGAGTGGAATTGCCGCATGGCAGGTTTTGTCCATTTTGTCCATTTACCATCCTGTAATAAATTGATTTCTTTGGTGGATTCTCCATCATGTTTAACAGGCATTTAATGTACATGTATGTGCATATGCATAAACATTCACATCTGCAAAGTTTGCCTTATCTCCATCATCTATAATTGTGATCATACTTGATACATAAAACATTTTCACTCTTGACACATACATAAAGCTTCAAAGTACAAGGAGTAGTTTTATTGTTTTATAATCATATGATATTGGGAATATTTTGTTGTCTATTAGGTTAATTTTCCTTTATGTACCATTGCACACACACCTCGTCTGCCAGAACACTGCGTAGAATATGCCAAGGTGTTAGTTTGGCCTCAGGAACATCCTTTTGGAGGTATGATATTTGACAGTTTGACTGAGTGTATAAATATTTGGAATAATAGCTCACATTTTGAATTAAATCGACATAACAGTTTGTACTGCACCCCATCACACAAAAATGCCTGCTAAATTAGTTTAGTATGCTCTTCTCCTTCAAATGGATTCTGTTTTTTTTTTTCAAAATCTTGAATTATAAACATGTTCAAGAGCTGGGGTTATCAGTGGAAAGCTAACGATGTTAGAGACAATCGAAAGATACATAGTTACGGGCAGCAAAGAACTGAAATCGAGTAAACTTTATTTCAGAGGGTGTTCCTGTTGATGGAGATGATCCAACTCATGTCCAGTGGATTTATGACAAAGCCAAAGAAAGAGCAGAAAGTTTTAACATACAGGGAGTCACATATAGGTTGACTCAAGGTGAGGACAGGAATTTCTTGAACACCATATCATCAGAGGACAATTTAAAGAATAATGTACATAGTTATGTTATTTTTGCTATGTATCTTTTGCTTCTGTCAAGGTGTGGTGAAGCATATCATCCCTGCTGTGGCATCCACCAATGCTGTCATTGCAGGTAAATATTAAATTATTGCCCTCTGCAACAGTACTTCTGAGCGTGTGACACAGCCTTTTATCCACTATTAACTAATTTTTACATAGTGATGTATTGATTATACCGTTGCTTGCATCTAAGTGTGAACATGAGATGCTGAAACATGCTCTAACTGGGTGTCAAACATGGCATGATTGGTCATCAAACATTTGAAGTTTAGCAGACCGTGGCACAAACTTTCGTGCTCAAAGTTCAGCACACGAAATGGCAGAAAGATTGGACATTGTAGACTTCTTCAGAGAAATTGGCCCTGACCTGTGTCTATATGCATAAGCCTTTCGCAAAAAAAGGTTTTACTTCTAGTATGACTATGAAATATTGGCGGGAGCAAGACTTTCAGAGTCTTTTACAGCATGAAAGTTTGCATTTCGGTCTGGTAAACTTCAAATGTTTGATGTCCAATCATGCCAGGTTTGACACTCAATTAGAGCATGTTTTGGCGTCAGGTGTTCACGCTTAGATGCAAGCAATGGTATTGTTCTTTTTTTTCCTTGCTACCAGCGGCTTGTGCACTAGAAGTGTTCAAATTAGTGTCCAGGTAAGGTGGTAATGTTTTCTTTTATAGAGACCTTCAGATCCAAAAAATGAGTATTTAATGATTTTTCAATACTAATGACAGTACTGCATGAGATCATGACAGGTTACACAAGTGTCCTTTTCAGAACATCTTGAACATTGTTTCCACCAGTCAGGGGCGGTGAGGAATAGTATTTCCAGGAGAAGCCTTAGTTTGAAAATAGAATCCGGTACTTCTGAGTATCCATTCTCGTAATTAACTTTGATCTAATGGTTCTTAAATTTTCATAACTAATTATGTGCATACCACATGACAAGATGTTAAATTCAAAAGAACTATGGAGATGTGCCAGTGCACCAACTAAGGCATGGTGGTCCAAGATTACTTATGAGCCCTTGTCAGTATAATTTGTACTGCGCTATAACCAGGAGAGTAAATTGATCAGTACTGCCATATTACTTGGATGTTGCTATGAAAATACTAGGAGATAACATGTGATGGACTAGTGGCCTCCCATCCAAAGAGCATTGCAAAAAATAACAGTTGGTCATTGGATGTTGTTGGACCAAATTTGGGAAGTTGTTAAGCGACTAATTTTACATAATGATTGGATATCATGACCGAGCACCAAAATGATGTAATAGCTTTTAGTTACGAAGATCTTGTTTGAATGCAATGTTTGCTTTGAAGCATGTTAATAATCACCATTAAAGATCTAGAATGTTGTTGTAGGTCCTTATTTATTTGAACAACATTAAAAGCTCTGAATTCACGGGAGCTGGTGCATGGAATTTTAAATGCACTGATTGAAGATTAATTTAATTGGCATTGTATTTTATCTTTACCTCTGAACAGCTGTTGTAATCCATTAAACAACTACATGGTGTTTAATGATACAGATGGACTGTACACTTACACCTTTGAAGCTGAAAGAAAGGTAACCTTTAAAGTTTCTTTTTGGCAGGGCTGGGTTATTCAAAAGCCAGTTAACACTAACCCAGGATTTTAAGAAAGGTAACCAACATATTAAGTTTTCTAGTTAGTATAAATTAAAATGTTTGTTACTGCCTATGCATTGTGTAGTTCAAAATTACTGAAGGACAAGCAATATCAACAGAAAACCCATCACCAAAAAGTTAACTCTTGCTAATCCTAGATTGCATGTACATGTAGCTCAATCAGGCTTTTGAACATCTTGGCACAGATAAACTAAGATCTTAGTACATTCTCAAACTTAATATGTAATAATTCATCAAGTTTAAACAAAGGAAATCATGGCCGTGATAGTGTTTGGTTATCTGATCTTAAATTAGCATACATTTTTACAATTTTATGTCTCCGTATTTTCAACTCTCTTCTCGGTGTTTGGAAATGTGGTCAAACCAGTCTATCAAGTTTCATATATTTACTTGAAACCCAAAAAACCAACACAGTTGGTGGAATGATCAATAATTATTGGTGCTGCTTTCTAAAACGGCATGTAAGTAAGAAACATCAAGAAATACACTGTGGAACTTCCAGTTGCAACCATCTCTCGAAAACGACCACCTCTCCCCAGCGACCAGTTTTCCCAAATACCAACTGTCTCCACGTCAGATCGCTATATTTGGAACCTCTTGTAAGCAACCACCTCTCATAAGTGACTGCAACAACGTTTAGAGCTAAAAGCTTTAAATTTTCTTTTGTGACCACTTGACAGATAATATAGCGAAAATTTGATAAGGTGTTGTAACATTATTGCATTCCTGGAAAGTACCAGATTTTTTCATGAAATTGACTAGATATTCACATGAACAAAACATTTTACAATTTAAAGAAAAAATGTACAAACACCGTGCTGTATCAATCTTAAAAGAGACAAACTTAAATGTCTTAAAATTACAAATGATATACTAATGAGACAAAGAGACCATCTCCTGTAAGCGACCACCCAGGCTTGACATTTTGGGTGGTCACTTGCGGGAGGTTTGACTGTAGTTGTCAAATCTGAGATTCCGCAAGCCTGGCATCAGCTACAAATTAAATAACAGGCCTAATATTCCTGATTATACAGTATGACAGAAACCATGTTAAAACACCAACTACATGGTAACTTAACTAAACCCCTTTTATTGTCTTTGAAAGTTAAATTTGTTGTTATTGGCATTTCTTGATTTTTAAAGGACGACTGTCCAGCCTGTAGCCAGCGACCTCAAAGTCTAACTTTTCCCGAGGATGCCACCCTAAAATCTGTGATAGACTTTTTGATGGAGAGCCCAACATAGTGAGTAACAATATTGTGACAACAGTCACAAATGTCTTGGCAAGGGGGGTGTTGTTTAAATTATCATAATAACCTTGTGCCTGAGAACTCAGTTTAATATTAGAGACAATATTCCATGTGCACAACTTTTTTGTTCATTGTGATGAATTTTAAGCCGTGCTGTAGAGTACATGTAACATGCTCAAGGAAGCTATTAACACTCTCTTCAAGTTCCCTGTCCATTCCAAAGATGACAAGTCAAGGCAATTTCAGAACATTCTTGAAGGCTTTTTTTAAAAAAATAAATTTCCTTCACTGAGAAATGGAAAATGTAATTTTGACAATACTCAACATCTGCACCATATATATGGGCGAGTATCTACTCGAAAGAAATACAGTCAAACCTCTCCACAACGAAAGTGGCTGTTATGGGGAGGTAGGGGTGTAATATGACACCTTTTTTGGATGGGTTTTAACATTTTTATATACATATAATGCTCATTGTAGCATAGAAATATCCAACACGATTAAAATATATCATTCAATAAAACAGAAATGAAACAGAAATCCAGTGTGTGGTATGGATCAAGTTTTGTGACCTTATATAACTGGCTGTTGTGGAGTAGTTGTTTTGGTAGTTTGGGATATGCTTTGGTGACCGTTGCCATTGTGGAGAAGTGGCTGTTGTAAAGAGGTTCAAATAAGAGTGAGTGTATGGACCATCTGCTGGGAAATAAAGTGACCTTTGTACAGGAGGTGGAGGTGTGACTGTACGCAGTAGTCAAGTCACCAAAAAGGGTTGTGATCTTTGTTCATCTAATTATATAATATCTGCATATGAGTGCGCTTCCAATTCTTTTACGAAGTTGAAATACATGTAGCCTAAGAGACTTTGTTTTTTTCCTACTAACAGTCAAATGAGAGCACCTGGTCTTACAACCATGATTGATGGGAAAAACAAAACCCTTTATATGCAGGTATCGATATTGAAAACTCGCTTTTGTAATTAATTATTATCATTTTGCAGAGATGTGTTACTAACTGGCAAAATAAGCATTTAAAAGTCTGTTATGTTTTCTTTCTATTTCTACTCTAGATGATTTTTGCTTCTGAATGCCAAATTCATTGGCATTCAGGAGTATTGTTATGGGTGCGAATTTCACTATCTCACTTGATCATTTCCTGTTAACTTTGCAGCAAATCCTCTGACAGTGTACATTGCTTAACTACTTGAAAATTTACAGATTTGGACTTTGTTTTTCAAATGTGCTACCCCTGCTACCCTTAACTTGTATATGCGTAAATCTTTTTAAACCTTTGCCACCTTCTGGCGATCTGAAATGAAATGATTGATTTGAAATAGGTTAAACTTGGCTACATTAATTTTGCTTGTGTATTTTTGTAGTCTGTGAAGTCTATTGAAGAGAGGACAAAGCAAAATCTACCTAAGAAGTTAAAAGGTAAAAAAAAATTATTAGTAGTAATTATTATAGCTGGCAGGTGTACAAGAAATAAAAGTTGAATTTGAAGTTCCTGGAAAGAGAAAACCAATTCTTGGAGGAAGACAAAAAGTATTAAGTGTAAGAATGGTGCTGCTTTGTAGAATTTTTGAGGGATTGTGCACTCTTTTCTTTAAGAAATTATTCATCAGCATTTGTTTTTTCATTGCAGATATTGGCCTTATTAATGGGCAAGAGGTGGTAGTGGCAGATGCCACAACTCCTAAACCATTAATTTGCAGAATACACTTTTCTGCCGGAATGGAATAAAGTTTTACTGTGATCAAACACAGTTGAGTCCTATTAACTATCAGACAGGAGTGTCAATAAAAGCAATTGAGGCAGTTCCAGACTTGTAGGTAAAAACAAATTTTTTAAGATCTTTATGCAGCAGATAAAAAAGCTTGTCATGTTATCATGAGGAAATTGTAATCTATAGAAAAAGAAACTGTATTAAATCCAAGTGAATTTGTAGTCCCCATTGTAAATAAAACAAATTTGTTTGTTGCATGATGTATTGTCAACTTCTTTGTAAAATAATAGGAGAGTGTGGAGAGGGGGGGGGCTGGGGGGGGGGGGAGGGTGAGGGGGAAAGACTGGATGGTGCCAGTCCTTTTGGTGTTTCGTTGTACTAAGACATATCAAAATTATTTGGGTTATAGTATCAAGTTACTTCTCTATTAGCTCAAAACTTTAGAAAAAAACGCAATTGCAAGTTGACGGAAAAATTATTCAAAATGATAACAGAATGTAAAAAGACACCAATTATTCTGCATCTGGAGTAACATCTATTAACTTAGCTTTTAACTCGGTATGTGGGATCGGAAGAAAACGAATGGCTCAAACTTACTTTTTTCTCAAAGTACTCCACTAACGTTTTCTTTTCACAGTCGCAAGTATTCTTGTGGATCCAGACTGTGCCTCCAACTTTGCTAGTACACTTACTACCAAATGCTCCTTTAAATGTGAAATTTAGCGTATATAGATAACAATTAAATGCGTTTACTAGTTGGTTATGTCCGAATACGCCAACAACAACTAGGACTGCGACAACGACTACAACAACAACAACAACAACAACATTTCGAAATATGGGGAAAAAAAAGAATTCAATAAAAAGATCGTCTTTCATGAAATTTCAAAAGTATGACTCTTTCTTGCTATATCTCGATGAAACCTTTTTAGTTCAGCAATCATGACGTTAATTTGAAGCTCCCTCAGTTTCCATAGAGTGCACAAAACATTCCTTATACTGAAAAACAACTTGTGCTGACGAAACGCGAATTAAAAGCTAGAAAAAAGTTGTTGTTCCCACCGTATTTGTAGTTCTTCCAAACTTAATTTCACTCGTGTTTTTATCCCAGTTGTTATTACTTTATTTAATCTATTTAGCTTGGGCTAAACTAGTTGTTGCTATGGTAAGTTTATTTGGTCTTCCGGGCAAAAGAAGGCACCTAATCGCTCAGGCAACTTGCTTAGATCCAAGATATACAACTTATGAAAATTAAATAGGGTGTCACCTGTCCAGTTGGAGTTAATTAAAGAACAGTGCTTCATAATTTCTCCGTCCACTGGCGTTCTTGTCCAAAGAAAACCGAGTGACTTTTCTGGAGTACAGAAGTCTGTCAAAATAAGTAACTATATCCTATAAGTGGAACACGATAGAATAAGAGTTGAAATTGTACTTCTTGTAACAATTTTTGCATAATAAAAAAGAGAGAGAGAGAGAGTAAAAGAGGAAAAAGAAATTCTTCTGCTAGGAAAACGTATGCAGATTTCCATCCCAAGATAGAACTTCTCTTGATGCATCCAACAGGTTTCGCTCTCGGGATTGTGTGACAAATTCAAGGCATGCGCAGTTTAGTTCTACTAGGCAAATTTTACAAGCGAAAGTAAGGGAAGCAAAATGTAAAGAAATGTGAAACGGTCTACAGTCAAACCTCAGCATCCCTTAATCAATCCTCTACTGGACTTCTGGCCATAACGTTGACATAAACGAGGATGCCAGGTTCTAGGAAAAGCTTTGCTTACTTAATAAGTAGTGTCATGGTGAGGAAAATTCCCCCACTGAAGATTTTTCGTGAATTTTTCAATCTATCGTCTCGTCATACCGTAGGAAAATAATATGTATCGTTTACCAATCTATATTAATCTGTATATGTTAGTTTCTAGTTCCAATTTCGTCAAAGTCACCCTGCAAGCAGAGCCTTTTCCTATGGTACATATGTTTTCCTTGCAAAAAATAAAAAGAGATAAAAGAGGCTCTACTCGCAGGCTACTTCAAAGTATGACCTCTGTTTCCATTTTCCTCCGTTCTTACTTGCACAGTTCTAATTAAAATAACTTACATTGATCGCAGTTCCTCTCGTCTGATCGATCGCCACAATTGGGACGAATATTACATCTGTCGCCAATCGATCTAATCTCATCACCACTTTCGCATAGGAAAAGGCCATCGTTTGATATTAAAGACAACTCTCTTATTCCTATAACAAAAGGATGTAAAAGGGAATATTAAGAAAAGCCACGGCGACCAAAAAAATGGCAAACCTCCGAGAGACCGTATATCTAACCAACTGAGTCTCGAAACAAGAATGGATTTGTGTTCAGCCATAACTAAAACACACAGAGAATTCTTAGAACAACAGAAACACATCAACAACAACAATAATAACAACAAAAACAACAGAAGCAATACAATATGTATCGCTTTGTTCATTAGGACAGCGCTTTAATTATTATACCAACCTGGTATCGCACCAGTACACAGTACTCGACCGTTATCAACATAGCAACCAGGCCTTGCTTTTTCATTAGAACTGGTGCAGTAAAAATCGACGCCATTTTCCTTCCAGTGATCTCCATCGTAATAAAGTTGACTGTTCCAGCTACAAGCTAGGCAAAATGAAGATTGGTCCCTTTATCAGTTATGTAATCAATAAAAGGTAGATCGTAGGATCATGCAACAGAAGGGGAGCTTACTCTAAAAATCATGAGCTGTTAACAAGTCAGACCTCAAGCAAAGTAAAGATACAAGCTTTATATTTAAGCAATACAGCACTTTTTCCGTGTTTACATGGCCTCATCCAAACACGAGGAGGGTTGGGAAATTCGAGACAGATAGGCAAACCCTCGACTACGTCTCGGGTTTGCATAACTTTCGAGAATTCTCCCAACCCTCCGAGTGTTTATATGAGGCTATGAAAAAACACGGAAAAAGTGCTCTTTTGCTTTCATAAAATAATTCTCAAAAATATGCGCGAATCTAAAACGTCACAACCGTGTTTACATACTCTCATCTAAACACACCTATCGACCAATGAGAGCGCGTGTAGTAGCTCACTCATTTTATGAATAGATCTGTGCGCTCGCAAGGCTGGAGATGTCATATCGAGCAAAGCAACGCAGCGAACGAGTGGGATTTCTGATACGAACAAAACCAATCCGTAAATAGCTTACCAAACACCTTCAGGGCTGTAATTCCTTTACTCTAATTAATATTTTTATTATCTTTATTTCGTTTTTCACTGAGCAGTACAGTTGTCGAATGTTTACAAAGCAATTAAAATTTTCACATCTTAAAGCACATTTCATTTTTGTGCCCCGAGATTTGCATGATGCCGTGAGTTGGAGAGACATTCGTGCCTTAGTCATTTTTTTAAAAAAATTAAAATTTTTGAAAACACCCAACCCTATGTATAAGACATTCGTTGAGTTGTCTCGTCCCGACAGGTAGCTACCATAGCCCTAGCGAGCGGGACACCTTTTCTCATATAAATGCTTGATAGAGGTTACTCGCAGGGGAGGGTTGTCTCGGGTAGCCAACACCAAATAAAATGGGGTCTAACTTAACAATACCCTATACCCTTTGGCGTATTAACTTTTTCATTTTCACTTACCATGGCATACCCCATGATTCCTCTTCATGTAGGTTGCTACATTACACTCCATTTGATTGCAATCTTCGGTAAACGTGATCTCACTAGCTTTTTGAATCGTTTGAGTGAAAAGCAGGAATGAAGCCAGTACAAGCTTTCTTGAGCACTGAATTTTGCCTTGAACACATTTGCACTCCATACATTTACCAACAGACCACGTGGTTCCCTCAAAGTACTGATTAGAGTCCTCGTCTTGACAAGTTATCTCTGGCGAGAAAAGAAACAGGTAAATTGAAAACTTCTCGAGCTGAGCAGCGACATTGAAGAAATTTACTTCAATTCTAGTAATATGACAATATTTTGGTGGAATTTCAATCTCGTTTATTCTATTCCATCTCGCTACCCGAAACTAAACCTTTTCGAATTCGCAGAATATACATTTCTGCCCAGTGTTGGCCCTCAGTACGAAAGATGGCTGAGCAGAAAAATAGCAAAAAAACAAACAAACAAACAAACAAACAAACAAACAAACTAACTAGCTAGATCAAGTCAAAACATCAGCAACAAAAGAAAACGATAATCAAACTTACTCAATTTCGTACACTATGGAGACAGATGCCAATGCCAGATTTACATAAGGATTGCTGAAGCAGCTTTAATTTCTGTTAACACTCAGTTCTACAAAATACGTTACCTGATGAACAATTCTGGNGGCAGGGAGAGGCGCGGGGGTTGTGGATAAATACCGTCTCTTGGGCTTTGGTTGTAATAAGACTTAAAATATAGCTGGTTCCTTGAGCGGGTAAGATGAGCCGAGTCCTGCATTGTGATTGGTTACCCGAGGGGTAAAGATGGCATTATCTTGCTCGCTCGCGAGGTTACCCACTGTGTTCCACAAGAAAATGGCGTTCGTTTACCATATAATAAATTATAAAAAAATCCTTTATTTATGAAGCTTGCTCGGTCAAGATTGCTGAATACTGGTCCAGTTAAATTTTTACGTATTTGAACAATATCCAGCCACCTTGACTGAGCAAGCCTAGTCAATAACCAAATTTATATTTGAACTATTTTCCATTCAATATTTAGCCCTCAGCCTGCTCTACGAGTTAACGAATTCTTTCTGTTACTAATGACGTCAGCTGAGGTCACATGGCGTCATTAAGGTAGCTATTTTGGATCCACCATCCATCATCCTTCAGGTTGAGGTAAAAAGGTAATGAATGTGGGGTAATGAATATTAGAACATTCTTTTTTGTGTGTGTGTGCAGATTCGTCTTAGTCTTTATTCAGTGGTCTTGGTTAACTCGACACTGGACTATTATCATAAAACAATGACGCAACAGGCCGTCTCCGACTGATTACCTTTAGCCTCTCTCGCAAAGCGAGTCTTGGTGCCCATCCTTTCATATGAAAATGAGATTTCATTCGCATGCAAATTAAACTCATTTTCGTATCAATGGTTGTACACCAGGCCTCGCTTTGATAGAGAGGCTTTGGTGAACTCGGGAATGGGCTATTCTGTGTTGGCCACAAGAGGCTCTTTGTATTCTATGGATTTAATCATTTGGAGTACAGACAAACACATTTCCATCGTGGTATAGTGGGGAGGGTGGATGGTGACACCCCCTTTGGGGTTTGGTAGTACTAAGGCATTACGAGTATCATTTCACTCTCATCCCAGAAAGTCAGAAAACATCGCAATTACAAGCTGGTGGAAAAATGATTCAAAATGATAACAGAATGCAAAAAGGCACCAATTCTGTGATACTGCTCAAAAACACTGTACAAAATAGAAACAATAAAAGTAAAAATAAATTCAACGAGTTTTGTCAAAAACGCGACACTTGGTACAACCTGCATATGTCTTAATGATGTTGATATGGCTCCTTCAAATGACCAGCTGGAAGAACAGTTAGGGGTGGGTGGGGGAGGCAATTACCACAATTTGCTTACCCCTTATCCCGGAGCTAAAAATTCAACATATAAACTGGACATGTACGGACTGCATCTGACGGGTTTTGATATAAATTCAATGCATTTCTATTCACAACAGCAGCATTTTCCAGTTATCTAGATTTGGAGTAATTTTTGTGTACTTATGTTTTTACTGGGCATGTGGGATAAAAGAAAATGAACAGCTGAAACTTACTTTTTCCTTAAAGTGCTTCACCAACGTTTTCTTTTCGCAGTCGCAAGTACTCTTGTGGATCCAAACCGTGCCGTCAACATTGTCAGCACATTGACTACCAAATGCTCCTAGTGAATGTAAAATTGAGCGTGTATAGCGGATGACATAGTAGCGTATACTATAGTTAATCGTGTCAGGGTACAACAACAACAACAACAACATTAACGACCTTTCGAAAAATGGATAAAAAGAATACAACTGATAAAAAGAATGTCTTCCATGGAATTTCGAAAGTATGATTATTTATTCGACATATCTCGATGAAACTTCTTAGTTCAGCAAGAATAACGATATTTGTTCCTTAATCGGAAAGAATACAGAGGATATTATACGGTGACGAGAAGATACGAATTTTATGTTCTCGTGGCAAGAACAATATCTCACGACTGAGCTGCGCTCACTCGTGAGATATTGTTCTTGCCATGAGAACAAAAAAAAATCATATCTTCGAGCTAACGTGTAATGTACTTTTTATTATAGTGATGACGGCTTTTTAATGATTTTCCGAAGATTTCCGACCACTTTCCGAAGATTTCCGAAGATTTCCGAAGATTTTCCAAAACTTGCCGGGGGTCACACGAGCGTTGCCGAAAAGTCTCAGAAAATTTCCGAAGATTACCCAAGATTGCCGAAGATTGCCAGAGACGTTCGAGGAAGACCCGATGTTTCCATCATACACCAACGAATTTAAGTACAATTTACGAGACAAACTTGATATCGTTGAAATCATCGATATTTTCACTAGTGAGGATATCGAAAATACGCCACTCAAGTCCCGGATGTGGTTTCGTATGAATTTTACAAGTGGTGTATTTCCCAGTAAAACAATCGTGTCTATGTAATAAATGTAATTATGAGGGTAATTTGAAGCTTTCTAAGGCTCTGTCCACACTACGTATACATTGGAGTCATTTGAAACCGGAGGTTTTACTCCAAAAACACAGCAAATGTTTACACTAAAACTCAGAGCCGGCGTTTTCAAATTCCACAGGTTTGAAGACTGTCAAGTTACGAAAAGCTCCGTCTTCGTGACGGATTAGTGTGGACGGTTGGCCTAGCCGTAGAAATAAAGTTGCGTTGTCAAATTACTCCGGCGTAGTGTGGACGGAGCCTATGTGTTGATAAGTCACATTTTTTTTTCCCAGTTGATTTTTTATTATCATTGTACTCAGCTTCGTCTGAACTATAGTTGTCGGTATCATAAGTTTTTTTTTTTTTTTTGGTTCTTGAGTGGAAAAGAAGGCACCTAATCGGCCAGGCAACTTGCCTGGATCTTAGATCAGAAAACCATTGCAGCTCATAAAACAAATTAAATAGGCTGTCACCTGTCCAGTCGGAGTTAATTAAGGAACATTGCTTCATAATTTCTCCGCCCACTGGTGTTCTTGTCCAAAGAAAACCTTGTGATTTTTCTGGAGCACAGAAGTCTGTTAAGACAAGTAATCATACGTCATAACTGGGACAACGTGACTATAAAATCAGAGTTGAAATTTTGTTTCCTGTTATAATTCTTGTGCTGAAAATAAAATAAAAAAATATATAATGCAAAAACTATAAAATGATAAAAAAAAAAAAAAAAAAAAAGAGTGAGAGAGAGCGGAGAAGGGAACCGAAAAATATTCCTCTGCGGGGAAAAAAGGTATGCCTATTTCCATGACAAAAAGATCGAACGTCTCTTGATTCATCCAACAGGTGTAGCGCTTGGAATTGTTTTAACAATTAATCGCCTCGACAATCTAAACGTAGGAAAATAATATGTATCGTTTACCGATCTACTATTAATCTACAGGGGTTAGTTTCTAGTTCCAACTTCTTCAAAGTGTAACCTATTTCCATTTTTCATCTCTTCTAACGTACATAGTTTCAATCAAAGTAACTTACACTGATCACAATTCCTCTCGTCTGATCGATCGCCACAATTGGGACGAATGTTACATCTGTCCCCATGCGATGTGATCTCATCACCACTTTCACACAAGAAAAGGTCATCGTTTGATATTAAAGACAACTCTCTTATCCCTAAAATAAAAATGATATAACAGGAATTATCAAGAAAAGCCACGAGGAACATTGATGTGGGTGAGTTCAACCAAATCTATATCAAACTACCCGATGGGCTGCTCATTGAGGGATCATTATTTTATATTGTTATATGGCTGTCTCACAAGGACTGGGAACTACCGAATTCAGGAATTTGATTGGCTGAAATCGATATTGATGGCAGGGTGAATGAACAGGCCATGTTGGGAGGAGGGCACTACTCATGCCAGGTCTGAGTCATTTTTTCTCCTGACTTGTTTTCTCTACCTTATCTCCAGTTTATGACAACAAACTTTACAATTTTTTGTTTCAAAAAGAAAAGTAATGTGAAATCCATTTATGAAGAAAAGTGCAACATTTTATTTTGTATGCTGAAATTTAAATTTCACGCTTACAATAATAAACAATAAATTACAATCATAATAACTTTTATAACTACAAATTCATACCCTTGACACTCTCTACTTTGGTTTGTTATATTTTAGAGCTTTGTAAATTTATGCAGTAATTCCCCTAGAAAAGTATTTCCCAAATAAAGTAATGACATTTGCCATTTTAACTTAATATCTAATTCATTGTTTTTCCATAGATATAATGCCGGTTTCATATGCCTTACCTCACAGAAAACAAAAATTCTGGAGACCTACAACTTTCTCTGACAGCAATTGTGTTTATGATAATAATTTGCCAGTACCCATTTATACTCCTGGGTAGAAAGAGGCAGTATCTTGATCAAGAACACACTGCAGTGACTCCAGCCAGGGCTGAATGTTAAAACTCGGCTTCCTTGATAGAACTGAGCTTGTAGAAATTTGATATTTATTTGGTAGTAGTTAAAGTAATATGAGTTATTTCAGCCTCTGACCATAATCTCATTGGCATGCCCCAGAAATAAACTCCACTAGACACATAGACATAACCTCCGGACTTGTGCTGGTACAATCCTGCAAAATATGGTTCTCGCACAAGATGCCACAGATGTATGGGAAACAACTGTCCACCATGGGTGTGGCCAGTTAGAACAAGATCAACACTGTAGTCATCCAGAGCCATCTTTCCAGCTTTTGGCTGGTGAGCAAGGAGAATTGTTGGAGTGTTGCTGTCAACTCCTGCCAGTGCCTTGCTAAAATCACTACCATGATCTGATCTGAAAACACAACAATATTGAGTCTTGCATGAGCTAGATAACTGCACTTCGCCCAGGTGTCATTTTTGGGAGGTGAAGTCTGCACACAAGCCAAATGGCCCATCACGCTGAAGGCTTATCCTGGTTTCTGTAGCATGAAGCGACTGAATAACTGTCCAGCCACTTGGCCAACACGCAGGATGGATTCTAGTCCATCTCATGTTTACCCCCAGCATTAAGTTTGCAAGCACCCATTGATACACCTGGGTGGAGAGAGGCACTATGAGAGTTGACTGTCTTGCACAAGAACACAATACAATGTCCCCGGCCTAGGCTTGAACCCGGACCACTCGATCTGGAGACCAGCGCACTAACCATGAGGCCACAGCGCCTCCCACAGCAATTTTTTTTCAGCCAATCTGAAGCAATTTAACAATGACTTAAAACACCCATGCAAAGAAAGTAAACACCTGCACATAGGAAGCTATGATTTTGGGGTTCAGGCTGATCAAGTTCTAAATTACCGGGTACTTGGTGAGAAATCAGCCTGAAAATGTTCTATAAACGTTCTTCTAAAAAATTGTTTCAGAAATACTATACATTATACATTACTAGAGGTTTAATTAACTTACAATGTTTTATTACTTACACTAAAAAATAAATTTCAAATGAAAAGTAAATATTAAATACTACTTCTATTTTGACTGCTTTCTTTCTGCATCCTCATTCTTTTTATATGAGAACATTTTTTATTTATCAGGCTGAATTGGTTCTTGTATAGTTATGCTGCATTATTGGCCAAATTTCAGCCTGAAATGCCAGTCGTCTCCCGCCCTCAGCATAATAGGCCCTTTGCAGCTGCAGTCACATGAGCAAATTTTTCCTAAAAAAATTTCTATTACGGGCTATAACTAAGAATGCCAGAAATAGAAAGAGCGTAATAATTATTATTGAAAATACCAAAATGGCCAAGTTTGAGGCCCATGGCATTAAAGATTAACTTTATACAACAGTTTGAATTTTCAGAAAATTTAGAGGATTTGTACGGAAAATGTTGTTGGAGAGCAAGGCCTTGCTCTCCAACAACTTTTTCCATACAAGTTTTCTTACTTTTTTCAAATTTAGACTGTCATAAAATCTCTTTAAAGACAGGGGCCTCAAACTAAGCCGTTTTGCTATTTTCTACATGCTTTTTTTGTTAAGTTATAGCCCATAATTTTATGAAAAGTAGGTCACGTGATGGCTTAGCTGCAAAGGGCCTATCGCCATGCAAAAGGCTGAGGGCAGGAGATGACTGTCATTTCAGGCAAAAGCCATTCCAGATCTCCACCTGGTTTTGATAAAAAAAATGTTTGAATGACTTACCTGAGAAATCTAGCCTCTACATCATCTACACCAGCCAGGCAAAGTTTTGCATGAGGTTTGTTTGGATATGTTAACATTACATGAGCATTATGGAGTGGAGTCACACCAAGATATTCCAACTCTTTAAGCCATCCATCAACATCACCAGTATAATACTCATGGTTCCCTGGATGGAAGCAAATCATGGCAATTTAAATGGAAAAATTAATTAATATGTTAAAACAGGTGGTTCTCCTCAGCCATGTGCAGCTATGATTAAAATGACATGCAGAAAATACTTATGTACAGTAATTATGTGACAACACTCGACACAACCAATTAAACGAACATGTACCAAAACCAGAATACTACAACAGCCTAGAACACTATCAGTATAAAATACCAATCACTAACTAGCAATTCTGGTGAGAGCACAACTACAGCACCTAACTAAAGGTAGAGTGCATGCGGGATATGCTCCCACCTGGGTTTAAGGCCTATCTACCTGTAAACCAAAAAATACATCCAGTTAGGAGGCCCCCCACCCCACCCCCAGATATAAGCCCCTCTCCCCACCTCTAGCTTTCCTTGTTTTGAATTCATTTTACTAGAGCGCTTTTCACCAAGTCTCATAAAACCAATTTAACCAAACCAATTACTTACCAATTAGAATACTCAGCCAATCTCAAATCATAGTAAAACCACAGAAATTGTCTAATTGCTTTCGACATTCAATTGAAAACTGCACTATGACGTTTTAAAGCTTATAATAATTAAAAACCAGTACATGAAAAACCTATTTTGATCAACACAGCTATAGCTCGTTTCGAAACAGTTTTTAAATCCAGTTATAAGTCCCCTCAGATACAAGCCCCCTGTTTAAAAAGTTGTATAAGCCCCAGGGCTTATAAGCAGCAGTTTACAGTACTATGGTCCCCTCAATTTTGGGATGGTTGAGGCAGACTGTTATAGACTTGGCATCAGACCAGGGGTGCAGCCAGGATTTTTTTCTAAGGGGGCTGACACACTGTGTCAAAGTGAGGGCAATCACCTGATTGTCATGGCATTTTCACCACCTGTTGTTGGTAGTTTGCTTAAAAAAGGCTTACAAAAGGGGGGGGGGGTCACAAGCATCCCAGGACCCCCCTAGCTATGCCCATGCATCAGACCGACTTCCGCCATCTCCTCAACTCGCAGCTTGAAGAGATGGCCGAGGTTCAGGCTACATAAGACTGTGTTACACTTAATGTTTCTGGTACCTGTCACAAAGTATACACCATATCTTGCCTTCAGTTTGAGCAATGGTTTAACTGTCTGTCGAAGCTGATACACAGTAGCATCAACCAAATCTCCAGTTACAGCAATGACATCTGCATTCAACTGATTTGTTGTTCTAACTGCTCTTTCGAGCATAGCCTTTCCAACAGTCGGTCCAACATGCAGATCTGGTAGATGCACAATTGTAAATCCATTCAATTCGGGTGGAAGATTTCTCAGTGGAATTACAACCTTTTTCACGACTGGATCTTTGTGACCATTATACAGCGCTAACACCGCCAGTGCGTTGGAGACTATAAAAATTGCCATAATTTGAGACCTTGTGTACTGTGTCCTTGATGTAATGGATCCAGATCGCATATTTAGAACGTTAAGTATCCACACAGCAACATCGAAAATGACAGTTGTTGTAGTCCATACTATCAACAGTCCTAAACTAGTATAAGACACCAAAGAAATCCAGTGCGGCTCCACACCAGAAAATATCATCCCCAGAACGATACTACCTTGTGCTAAGGTGATAACCGTGGTCAAAAATGCGAAAAGAACCCTGTTTACATTTGAAGGATGGCTTTGCAGTGGAGAACACAGTCTCATCCAAAGATACCTCGCCGAAAAAAACATGATCGATTGTGTTGCCAGCAAACCTTGAATCAGAATTAGTTTATACTTGGTTTTCTCATTTAGGTTCAAGAAAGAGGTTCCCAGGATAGAGACAATATTAATGCTTGCAATCGCCCCAGCAATGACAAGAACTTTGTCAAATTTTGAGTTCCTTCCTGTCGCCATCTTGAGACAGTTTCGATCTCAGGCTTCCAACCGCGCCTCTTGCAGCGTGTGCCAAAAAGGGTGGGCCAGTAGACTAAATGAAGTACATTTATTCATAGTTAGTAGATTAGTTAGTAGATTTATTATATGGCTAGCTCCGTGAGCGGGCAAGATGAATCAAATCCTGCGCTGTGATTGGCTACCCGAGCGGGCAACATGGGGCTATCTTGCCCGTT